GTGCTCCCAGGTTTCCTTTGTTCCTCCAACTGATGTCAGTCTTCGATGAATAACAACTTGAAACATTGACTTAATTATCTGAATTCTACTCACATTAGTTATTAGTTAACATAAATCTTATGAGCTTTATTGAACACATATTTTATGTAACCTTTTCAATATGTTGAATACATTTGTCTCCATCTGTTATTCAACTTCTTTCTCGAAATGGTGGAGGATACTGTTAGCTCAAGTGGATGATCTTGGTTGTATTGTGTTCTCTGAAGTGGGTTGTTTAATCGTAAAGCTTTCATCATCTTTCTAGATGACATCATCAGCACTAACTTCAGTATGAAGTGACCTGTCAGTATCTCTGAGTGAGTGACTGATTCAGTAGCTTGACCTGAAGAACAGGTTTGTGATTAGTTATTTCCTTCGGTTGTATATATTTTCCTGTTGGCTGTTATTCTGCTTCACCTCTGACCTTTCTGTCGTTTATCATTTCTCTCATTGGTTGATAGACTGGGTCTACATCTATTGATTGCTGACTGACTGACTGGCCTGAATGCCAAGCTTCTAGGAATTCTCTGATATTCTTTGAGTTTATTCTATCCAACCAACATTTTCGACATGAAATGAAATCAGCGATGGAATATTGTGACATGTTTAATAGCCAATTGATGCTCATATAAAAGAGGGCGACGATGACGACCACTTTATCCAGTGTAGTGTTGAATACAATCATTACAGTTGCCTTCCTAAATGATATTTGGTTTGTCCTCTTTGACTATTCCGTTCTTTCGTCTGCATAATAGGGTAGTGTTTGGAGGGAATTTGTCAGTTTATGAGCCACTTCAATTCCAAATGGTCTCAGTAATCTTGTCGTGATTTCTGATATATTATTTATGCATGGTAGGATGATGCGTTTGTTGATTTCTGTGGATGAATGGAATAGGAATCTTGTGATAAAGTTTTGTGGGTAGTGAAGTTGTTGTACTGCACTGTCATCTCACTCCTTCGAATCGAGTCTGTACGCAACTAACTCCGTATGCTGTTGGGTTGTTGTTATTCTAGTTGAGGATTTGATGAGTGTGTGTACCAGTTTTCCGACATTTGTTCCATTGAATAAAACATCCACGATTGGTATTTGGTTGGCCGACTTCTTCTTCTTCTTCATTGTCGATTCGATATCACTGAAAATGTTGTTGATCAAACTGTAAGCGTTTTCCTAATCATCTTCTTCAACACTGACTGGAGTATCGTCCACATAGTGGATCCAGTTTTTCAGTTTGATCACATGTAGAATGATGGCTATCAGTCAGTGCGTCTGCAATCAATCCGGATATTGATGATTTCATTGTAGTTCGTTTCACATGTTTATATATCTTGCCATTGAATTGGAAGTATGTTGTCAGATGAAGATCAGTGAGTTGCATGTTACTTGAACATTGAATTTTTGTGCTTTATGGAAGAGTTGTATGATTGATGAAGAGGGTTGACAGTGTATCCGTGGTTAGTTGTTATTTGATTGATATATAAAATGCGGTGACATCGTTGGATCTGATTTATTCGTCTTTTTTTATGTTAATACTTTTGATCCTTTCTAAGAATTCTTTTAATAGGATGTCCAAATGACTGAACAGTTATTGCATTTTCCTCCTAGATATTGACAAATTTAATTCAGTATGTTAGTTTTGCATATTTATACAGTTAGTTTGTGTATTTTCAACCACTTCATATCGATGTTCCCTTTAATTCAAGTGTAAATTGATGTCAAAATCAATTAAGGAATCTCCACAGACCTCCAGAGAGGACTAATGTGGCGTTTATTGGTAAATAATTTCAAGAGGTGATTTCCGAAGTTCCAATGAGTACTCGTGATCAGTAGAATCAACCATGTTTAACATGAGAACAGTTACCCAAAGATGAAATTGGATGTAGATCGTGTTATATCGTGAATTGACAGAAATAGAATATATAGATCATTGGATTCCGACCTATTGGCTAACTTATTGGCAACGTGCTGGCCACGGAATTTGAGGGTCCTGGGTTTGAGCCATAGAGGTCGTCGGTGTGCACTACTGGGCGGTCCTATACTAGGACGAACCAGTTGACTGTCCAGTTCTCCCAGTTTTCCAATGTTTCGCCAACTCATAACAGTCCATGATGAATTCTAAACTAAAATCTATTATTTCAAGTTGTTATTCATCGTAGACTGACATCAGTTGGAGGAATAAAGGAAACCTGGGAGCACTGAACAGCTGTTTCGCGCTAGTATGTGTTTCCTCAGCAGTGCACACCCACAACCTTCAGGTTCCGTGACCAGCAAGTCACCATTTAGCCTCTGGGTCAGAATCCAATGGTCCATATTTTCACCCAATGACATCGTTGAGTAACTGTCCTCACGATCATCAGGTTTTGCCCCCACCGGTTACGACTTCTAATTGGAACTTCGGGAATACCTCTTTTGATCGTGAAGACAGTTACTCAACGATGACATTGGGTGGCGGTTTGCGCTATATCGTGAGCTAACAGAAGTTGAAAATATGGGCGATTGGATTCCGACCCAGTGGCTCAATGGTAACGTGCTGGCCGCGGAACCTGACTGTCGTAGGTTCGATCCTTGGTGGGATCATGGGTGCGCACTGCTGAGGAGTCCCATAGTAGTCTGACGAAACAGCTTTCCAGTGCTCCTAGGTTTCCTTTGTTCCTCCAACTGATGTCAGTCTATGATGAATAATAACCTGAAGTATTTCCAAATCCCCACAACTCCCTCAAATCTTAAAATCTACTAATAACTATCCACAAACCTCTAGAGAAATGTTACATTTTTTCATTGTTTGTAAATGACTGATGAGAAACTGTGAAACAATGAACCTAACAAAGCGTTTATTCTCGCTCTGTTTAAATTTGTGAAGGGAGAGAATTGTATCCTGAAGAGTTCAGTTTAGTGTTATCAGGAGTTTTTATATTACTCTGTAAAATGGCATAACTAAACTTTTTATATCGGAATTACCTAACATAATCGATCTACCAACACTTAATATATAAACAAAACTTGTTTTGTTTAAATAAGCATGATTCACTGATTTCAACTAATTTAAAATACACAAACAGCTCTGATAAATAAAGACATTTATTCAAACATATAGACAGATATAATCACTTAGTGAAGATAACTGTTTGTCCCTTGATTTCCTAGTGGAACATAGGACTTTAGTAGCATGTCAACATTCCACTCCCTTCTATACAGTCTTCTTCAACCTGACTCCACAACTACCAGTAGGCTTTCATTTCTTACTCACACCATCTCCTCTATGTCACCCATGGCTCGGACGCTCAACTCGTCATCACCCATTTGGCTTCCACTCAACGGTCTCACCTCTCACGTGACATCCCATAACCGTCTTCCCACTCTATGTCCAATCGAATCCAATCCATCTCCACTCTCCTCCTCTCCATATTTGTTGGTTGGTTAGTTGGTTGTCAGGCCGGAATGAGTTCCTTCTTGCTTATTCTTATTATTCTCGCCATCCCATCTCATCTCATCTCATCTCATCTCATCTCATCTCATCTGGTCTTCAGTGTCAGTATCGAGTGAGTGTAGGTGGTAGCTGTTGTTGATGTATGTGTGGAGTTTGTTGTAAATGCTTTTCGTAAGGCGCCAACTCTCTCAACCACCACATAGAAGCAAGCAGTGACTTGACTGGCATTAGTGTTGGAAATGCGGATTGTGTTGTTTATGCTGAGTGCAGTGCAGTGCAGCGGAGTGCAGTGGAGTGGAGTAGAGTAGAGTGCATCTCAGTAGATCTCCACACAGATTTCAGATTAATGCAGGGAGGCCTGTCTTACTGTCCTTCCAATCCTGACTGGTTTTCACATCCTCATCTGTGCTGTGCCTATGTTGCCGACTGTAGTTGAAACGATGCTGCCCATTTGGGTAGGTGGATGGGTAGGTGTGGGGTGGTAGGTAAGTAGGTAGGTAGGTGGGTGGGTGGGTGGACAGGTGGAAGAAACAACTTGCTCCTTCACATTTCACCCATAGATGGTGACTGCTGCTTGTTGTTGTTGTTGTTGTTGTTGTAGATTGGTTGTGTATCTTCATCACCTGTGTCTTTGCTATGTTCACCTGAAAGGAGTCTTACCTTCGCTGCTTCGTCTCACCTCGCCTCTTCTATCAACTTGTTAGTTTTCGCCTATAGATCTTCGTTTTTGTGTGACAATAGACATAAATTATGATTGGCGAAATGCGAATCTTCCGGGGTGTTTTCATCTGTTAACGAGCGTTTGTTTAAATTGTGTCACCTTTTGAACACAAAAGGCTGATAATATTTTTTCTGCCATTCAAGATTTTCAATTTTGTGGATATTGAGCTATTTCCTCTTCACTTCAGAAGCCAAAATATATATGATGGCTTACATGAGAGGTTGAATTATATAGTGACTAATTCTACATATTTTACCATGACGTCAGACACACATCTCTGCAAGTGACAAGCCTCCTAAACCTAATCTCCTTCAATTTTATCAATCCATCTCTTCAGACAGACGTTTTTGATGCTTATGACTTGAGTACGGGAGTTTAAGACTTTTGATCGGTTAGGGAAGTGGTTCTAATATGTTGCTATTAGTAACATTGTCTCGTGATACTGGCGACTTTCCCGTCTGATTTCATTCAAGGTTTGATTTTGTACAACGGATTAGTGGTATTGTCACTAAAACCAGCCTCTATTGACCACGTTAAAGATTCTGATTTCGTACTGCTGAAGTTGAAATAGATTGAGAATGCTCATAGCTGATGATGAGAGAAGACTGACAAATATCAAGGAATATGTGATGTGGGAGAATGCTAAGTGCCAGGAACTGGTAAGTGTAAGTAAACAAGTTGTGAGATCGGCTAGAAATGGTAACAGAAGTTTAACACATGACAAGTATGAATATGATGCACCTCTAATTAATTCAGTGATATATATTTAATACAAAGGAAAGAAAAACAATCTTAGCCTATTTCTTTTTCTTTAGCTGCCAAATTCAATCATGGAGGCCAACGCTGGATTCAAACATGAAATATCTATTGGAACATCAACCAGACAATCCACTGAAGAAGAACTTGCTTGGGGCATCGACACACGGATTTCAGTGCCTCCTAGACGTTCTGCTTCTGCAGAGGTAAGTAACTTGTAATCATTTTGTTAATTATGGCCAGTGTTTCTATCTCACTGACGACAAGGATTTCTTGTTTGTACCTTAGTCAAGATGAAAGTAACACGTTGTACAAAAAGATGATGGAAATTAGTCGGGTATCTGTATCACGCATTCTAGTCGTTCCATAAGACAGATGAAGCCAAGTTGTGAACTGAAATTGGTCGATAGTTACTCACAAAGAAAGTGATTAGACTCGATAGTAGGCGAAAGATGAGTTGGTTCAAGGTTCAGTGTTCTGTTACGTTTCCATTCTCCTCTAGTCAGCCAAGTTGAGTAGTATTCACAAAAGCAGAGCAAAATTTGACTCGTGATACTGCCGATTCATTCGGCTGCACAGAAGCATGTAAGCTTATACACACAATAATATGGTACAAAAGTGTAGCTTATCCTTCCCCTACTGACGAATGAGTTTCTGACAGGAGAATATGGCAAAAAGTGAATACTTTTCATACTTTTTATTTTCTGTTGCTATACTGGATCGAATTATTCGGTCTATGTCGACAGATGGGATACTATGGGGATCCGTGGATACTGCTCAGACATTCATTATCTGTAGTCTTTTTGGCGGCTAAAAATGGAATTTAGGACACTTGTTTCGTCTTATTTCAAACTTGTAAACCAATGACCAAGTAAATAACGTTTTGGGGTTTAAAGTGGTGAGAACCAAGTTTGAAAGTTAGCGGGAACGACCTCATTCACTAGAGGTCAGGTACATCTACCTGACAAGTCCTAAGTAACACGAAATGCGTGTCCTAGGATATGATGCTAGCCACTTATTAGACTTCAAAAAGTATACATATATATAAGCTTCCAACCTTATTTTTGCATGTTAATAAATAAAATGAAGCCTTAAAAATACACACCGATACAGTCTTAGACAGACAATGAACAGTTGAAGTGCAAAATTAGTCAGCTATTAAAGTGCACAAACATTAGACATCTAATCATCCCGAAATTATTGTTTTGTTACATTAGTTGTATATACAAAAAGGTCAGTTCAGTATAAATACTTCATTAGATGAGTTATTTCCAAATAACGTTTTTAGTATTCTCGATTAGTTATAGTGTAGAATATTTGATACATATATACACAGTGGCGATGAACGAGGGAGACAGAAGGTGAAGGAGGGAGTTGAGACAGTTGCACTTTTCTTCTGATCTTTTCAACTGGTGCGATGTAGACGCTTAGAACTGTAAAGCAAAAACATCAATGCACCTATTTAAGCGAACTATGTATCCACAGTGACCAATTGGAGCTATCTAGTAAAATAATCAACGGGAAATTACGATAAGAAAACAATGTTATTCATTGAAAGTGTAGTAATATCTTGCTTCTCTGAAATGAATTCAAACATAAGTGGTGAAGAATATTTGCACCTCGGATGAAGGATCCTGGTTGTGATGTCTTCTCTAAGCAGTACGATGTAATTCTAAAGCTTCGATGTGGTGGATAACGCTAACGAGTCCGAATCACGGTGGGAGCAATATGACTTACTGAGAGGCAGGTACACCCTGCTGACTAGTGAGTCCCAAATAGGACGAAATACGCATCCTGGATTCCACTGTTAGCCACTGCCCATCATCACTATACATAATTGAAACACAGGTAATATCGAGGCATCCGCACAGGAACCCATATGCCAACACAGACTGATCAATTTGGACCAATCAAAGAGGGTGCAATACAAGCAATAACACTAACTTAAATATTAAGTTGGGAGTTATCAGAATTTCTCTGTGGGGCATTCAGTATCTTGGCCTCAAGAACCGGTTAATGGTTGGTAGTTTACTCCGCTTGTTGAGATTTTGACTTTCAGGAATTTTCATGTTGGCTTTTCCTTCACTTGATCTCTGACCATTATGTTATTTATCACATTTCCTACTGGTTAACAGACTGAGTCCATATATGTTTTAACATCGACTGATTACTGACTGAACTGAATCCCTAGCTTCTACCAATTCTATGATATTCTTTGTCTTTCCTCCATTCAACAAATCTTCACTCTCAAAGTCATATTCATGTTCATCGTACCCCACACACACACTGACATCACTGATGAAATGTGATGACGTTCAATTGTCAACTGGTATTCGTGTAAATGAGGGTGAACAGGGTGACTATTTTATCCAATGTAGTGTTGATCGAAATCATTGCAGGTGATTTTGTGAATGATATCTGGTTTGTCTTCTCTGGTTGTTGCATCTTTCAATCTGCCTAATATGGTTGACCAGTGAGACACATCAATTCCAAATGGCTTCACTTGTCTTGTCTTGGATCTCTGATATCTTCTTCATATATGATAGTTTGATCTGTTTTGTAATTTTCGTGAATGACTTTGTAGTTGATGATACTCGGGATTGGCATCTTCAGTTAATGTTTTGTGGGTAGGCATTCTTCTTTAGGATAGATATCAGATGATTTTCTTCCTTTCTGTGTGAATTTGTTGTACATCAGTGTGTTCTATCCCTTGTGAATCTAGTCTGGATGTGATTGATTTTCTGCATTGTCGCCATCTCCACTACCCTACAATGTAGTCGGTGTGATGTAGTGGGAAGCAGTCGTTGCTGAATTGGGAACTTGGATAATGCATTGAAATCGGATTTTGTAGGTACTTTGAGGTGCTACATTGAAGTGTATTATTTTGTAGTGTATGCGGGAAACAATGAAACAAATTTTAACCAGTAGAAATAGAAAAGCTTTCAAGACCTATGTCAATGATAGAATGGTGTTACTGTTATTCTACCAGTTCTAGCCTGGAACTTAGCATCACTGCGTAAGTGTCCAAGTTGCCATATCTTACATCAGCGCATGAATGTTGAAGTCAACAAAGTGAAAAATCGAGAAAAAGGGAACCAGAAGGAATCAAAAGTTCTCACGAGGAAATGGGGAAGAGATATACCAATAACGGAATGCGATATTATAAACAAATCGAAGATGACGTGTGGATGCGACTGTGCTGCTGATTTCGATTCCAAGGGATTTCACCTAGAGTATGTAAGCACCATTTTCGGTAGTCAGGTGAGTCGCAGCTGTGAAGTCTATATTTCCTTACACGATACACCAGTAGTTATGGAATGATGCCATATTTTAATCTGGCAGCCTCCAAATTCTTCCAGCCTGAACCTACTTTAACTAAAACTGCATACCGTGGTGATACCATGAAACGTGGCCTATGCTACAAAGGAAATGGTGATCGAACACTTGACGGCTTCTCGTATCCCCCAGATTTAGTAACCACAAATTCACAGCTATGATCCAGAGTAAAACAGTGTGAACTCCAGCTTTCGATCCTTAGTAGGTAATCAAATATCTCTTCGGTGCCATAGATAGTTGACGTTTATGAAAGCTTATCGAAACTTTTAGATCCATGCAGAGATTGCATCTATCACTAACCTACCCATCATGGCTGATCTAACTTTACAAGTAAGTGAAGTAGTCAACGCGCTCAACTAGTTCACTCCTTACCGTCAAGTGAGGTGGTGACGCCGATCACTCCTGGAGTAATAATTTACATTTTCTGCTAAGAAACCCATTTTAAATATTCTGGGGCTGACACTTAAAGTGACCAGAAGACTGAATGTTGTTAACATCTCTATTCAGCAGACAGAACAGTGTTGACCTAGTATTGTAAGTTTGCTAAGGAGACCCTAGGTATAATGTCAATTCTTTTCAAGTCTAATAAAGAGAGACAGAACCTATAAGTAAGTTTTTGGCAAAGTTCATCGAAAAATGGAGGTAGTGAATATCTTTACCAGTACCTTACCCTAACACGTCAACATGTTTTAGAATACTAAGCCTTAAGTAGAATCGTATACTTTCATAGCACACATCTAGGTGCAAGACAATACCGTATGGCTAATGGAGTAGAATGCAGCATTCAGATACACGTGTGAAAACCTGCCAGTCGGTGAATATCTGATCAAGATCTGGTTTTTGATTTAGGAAATTTGGACAATATATTCCACTCAAGAGTACAAAATATAGTTTCCTGGAAGTAAGATATAGGGGACAAATGTGCCATTCTGTGTAAAATTGTATATGAACACCAATTAGAAAATCTAAAGGTGAAGAGGTCAGTTTTTCACAGCTTTTAGAATTACAGAAGTTTTCCATTTGATATTTGTTGGTGTTTAGAGCTGTAATCATTTCGTTGTCTATCTCCATTTTATAAGATTCTAAAGCAACATACATTCAGTAACTTCTAATTTGATCATATTGAAGACATCTGAATGTTGTAGCCAATAAATTTGTTTTTGATCCATTCAAGTAGAAAAGGAGATGAAATGCACCTCCCAGAAAGACAGAGATTTTATTCAAAGATCTCAGGGATTACTGGGAACTGGATAGGCAGGAAACACATGAAAAATTCAGACATCTAATCGCAAACTTTAAGCCCTGTTTGAAATTTATAAACAACTGGTGGGAAATGCACAACTTGAGGTAGTTATTCATGAAGCCTATTTCTACAACTGAACGTATAATGTCTTTGGGTAACCGATTGTGCATTGACTACTGATGTGAATAAAAGACACGCTAGACGATAAACAGTGTTGAATGATTACTATTACTTCATGAAGTAAGTAGCATTTGTGCCAATTTATTCATGTAAACCACTGAGATGGTTTAAAACCTAATGCCCCGTGGTAATCCATTTCACACAATAGCATATTTTTGATTGTAAACAACCAGTCATGAGTTGAACATCAGTCAGTCTCATACGTAATCACTATGAGCAACTGTTGGTGGAAGCAAAGTGAGACATAATCATGATAAAAAGTGACTTTTCCAAGCACTAAACTGGAATGTACTAGCATAAAGCGAACTAATCAGTTAGAGTCCCACTATTTCCAGCTGCAAAAGTGATTTCTCACCCACTGACACCAAGAACTGAGGGTTTTATGATTGATTATGCATATTATGGAGGCTGAACATGGTCTGTATATGCATTGTGAAGATAAGACAAGGACTCTGTAACCTCGACTTTCTCAATGTCTAACCATTTGATACTAAAACATGTTGTAAAGTTTACTTCATTTCAATAATTAGCTCCAGATCAAATTATATCGAAAATGGATTTAAACTTCTTCGCATTACCGACCGACCAGGGACACTAGACAGCTATTTCGTACGAGACTCCTTAGCAGTACGTACCTATGACCCGGCTAGGGGACGAACTCAGGACCTGCAGGTTTCGCGGCAAACGCGGCCACTTGGTCAGAGTTCGTTAGTTCACAGTTTCCTATTTCTATCATTTCGCGATATAACGTGACATCAGTTAGCATCTACTTCCCTTCCGGCTGATCGACCACACAGCCTCTCATTAGAACTTTGCCATATCCATCTAGAAACATGTCACTAATGAGCACTATACATAAATATCTTTTAGGTGGATATGGATTTTAATTTTGAGTTAGTATTCCTCACGGACTATCATCAGTTGGAGGAACATTGAAATTCTGGGAGCATTGGACAACTATTTCGTCCTAGCATGGAACTTCTCAGCATTGGCTGAACAGTTAAAACGTTCACCGTGAAAAATGAGTTCGATCCATCACGGGTGAGCACTACTGAGGAATCCCGTACGAGGACGAAACAGATGTTCGTGATGAATTCTGCCTCAAAATTAAGATCCCTATTGACCGCAAAATACATTGAACTTCATTATTTTTTTCCTATACTTGTAATAGATAAAAATTGAAGAAGAAGAAATGAACTGTTGTTTTCGACTAAGAACTACAATGTATGGACGACTTCGTGCAACATTCTTAGATCCAATTCATGATAATTCATTAGTCAAATATCTTGAAGGTGATTTAGGCACAATTATACAAGAAAGGCTTACATCACAACATTGTTTACAACAAAATGGTCCAGATAATGGTCCTTATTTATGGACAGAACCTATGAAATCTGGTCAACGTTTATTCTATATGGAAACATGGGGTCGATGTAAATTTCGTTTTGGTGTACATCAAGCAGTAGAAGTTAATCAAAAATATGATCAATGAAAAAAAATTTATATGCATTTTCCTTAATGATAAAAAAAAATATATTAAACAATCATAAGCACTGTTATATACTTTGTTATTTTACCTACAAATGAACCAATCCCTACAATTCAATGTTCATTGAAACTGTTATATAATCAATTGAACATAGGTGAACAAATTTGAATCGAAAAGTTACACGTGTAAATTTATCATCGCTTATTTCATTTTTTGGATTTTTTTTGAACATTTTTGACATTTTGTCATCAAATATTGCTTTAAAAAAAAAATGATATATCCATTAGTTCAGAATGATAAGTGTAAAGTTTCTGTTAAATTTCATGAATTATTAGAACGTAAGGATATGTAGTGGAGAATATTTGTCACTCAGGTGATTGTGTTACCTTCTATAAGTTGTCCAACATAATCTTGAAGCTTTCATTGTCTTCTTAGACAACATCATTAACACAAACTTCAATATGAAATAGTAGGTTTCCAGTATCTCTCCGTAAGTGATTCACTAACTTGTACTAACAATTTTATTTCATTGTGGCGTCACTGACTTCAAAGAATTTCCTGTTGGCTCTTTCTCCACCTTTCTATTGTTTATCCCTTTTCCTACTGGTTAACAGACTGAGTCCATATATGTTTTAACATCGACTGATTACTGACTGAACTGAATCCCTAGCTTCTACCAATTCTATGATATTCTTTGTCTTTCCTCCATTCAACAAATCTTCACTCTCAAAGTCATATTCATGTTCATCGTACCCCACACACACACTGACATCACTGATGAAATGTGATGACGTTCAATTGTCAACTGGTATTCGTGTAAATGAGGGTGAACAGGGTGACTATTTTATCCAATGTAGTGTTGATCGAAATCATTGCAGGTGATTTTGTGAATGATATCTGGTTTGTCTTCTCTGGTTGTTGCATCTTTCAATCTGCCTGATATGGTTGACCAGTGAGACACATCAATTCCAAATGGCTTCACTTGTCTTGTCTTGGATCTCTGATATCTTCTTCATATATGATAGTTTGATCTGTTTTGTAATTTTCGTGAATGACTTTGTAATTGATGATGCTCGAGATTGGTATCTTCAGTTAATGTTTTGTGGGTAGGCATTCTTCTTTAGGATAGATATCAGATGATTTTCTTCCTTTCTGTGTGAATTTGTTGTACATCAGTGTGTTCTATCCCTTGTGAATCTAGTCTGGATGTGATTGATTTTCTGCATTGTCGCCATCTCCACTACCCTACAATGTAGTCGGTGTGATGTAGTGGGAAGCAGTCGTTGCTGGATTGGGAACTTGGATAATGCATTGAAATCGGATTTTGTAGGTACTTTGAGGTGCTACATTGAAGTGTATTATTTTGTAGTGTATGCGGGAAACACGAAAATAAATGTCAACTAATAGATACAGCTGTGGCGTACCGAGGGAAACTTTCAGAAAAATCTTGTTTTCGATTTTCTGAGCATGCCATGTTTATTTGCAATCTTACTTATTTATTGAATCTCTGATATTGTTTGTGTTTCTGCTCTTTATGAACTCTACATTTTCAAAGTTAAATGCATTTTCATCCTTTCTCACGTGTATGGATATGAGTGACGAAATTTTGTGACATTAAGAAGCTAATTGATATTCATATAAGTTAAGGCGACAATGACCAACACTTTGTCTAATGTACTGTTGATCAAAGCCATTGCAGTTAATTTTGCATACGATATTTGGTTTGTCTTCTTTGGCTGTTGTGTCTGCTGATTTCTGTGGATAATTTTGTAGTTGATGATGAAGTATACAGGCATTTTCTCATAAAGTTTATTTGAGTAAGCATTCTCCCTTTTCTAGAACAGACAACAAATACATATACGCCATTGATCTGTTCAGTTCAGGAAGAGTGGAATGTAAGTCGAATGTGTTTACGTATATCTAATCTAACAAGTGAATCTATCGGTCAGAAAGAGTGGCTTCTAACTAACGTAGACTAAATATTTAGCCACTGATTTGAATAATTTAGTTTTATAGACCTTTTGGTCGAAGTTATCATGTGGAGAGACGTCAGATGTATCATTCGTTCACTTAACGGTGAAGTTACAGTGCATATTATGTTAAACATTCAGGTTAAGTTAACTGAATCAACCTTTCAAGGTTAAAGGGGTAAATGCACACACCATTATGAAGGTTACTACCTGAAACAGTTATCTTCTGATGGTCATTTATACTTAGACTGTAAAATAATACTCGCATGTTTTGTTTTCATGAAGATTTACTCACTTTACATGCCAAGTCTTACTATCGTGTTAAATTATACTTGAGGATTGATATGCTTTTGTAAACTGGTCACCTCCAAGTTGCTAAACAAATGAGCTGTGTTCTTTGAGCTTGAAAATCTTACTGCTAAACAGATTACTCGGGTATCTGAAATAACCAGATATTAAGTGTGGTCTTTGTGATAACGGAACATGGTTAGTCACAAAATATAACTGATTCAAATCCAATCTAAACCAGTCGCATGGGAGACTAATTGAAGCCTGAATAGCTCAGTGATGACATCACTGACTGCAACCCTGAGTGGCACGGGTTCAAATCTCACAGGGGAATATCAGTCCTGTCGTAGTTGCAGATGTGTCTTGAGGATGAGTGCAAACAAACATGAAATTCAGGTCAAGCAGAACTTCTTGCCAATTGCCTTCATTCAACTGCCACCTACTCAAGTGTACAACGATGATGAACTGCCTAGCTTAATGGCCACATTGAAAGTTGATCGATAAAGCATGGTTAGTATGAAATTGGTTACTATCCAGTGACTTATCAGTGACATCAATTACCCATGCTTTTCAGTAGTTTCTGTTGTCCAGCAGTAGGCTTAGATAAGTTGTACTGTTATTCTTGCCGTTTTTGTGACATTTTGTAAGCTGTACACTTTCAGTACTGAAAGTAATCATTTCAGGATTTCTCTATGTGGTCTGTGTATTTTCTAAAATGACGGAAACACGAAAAGCAATCCAATCCTGTCGTACCTTTACAAATCGTTTAGAGTAGTAGCAATTTTCTACGCTAATCACCAGTGATTACCAAAATTTAGATCTAAATAAGTGAAGTGGAGCATTTATTCAGTAAATATGCAGAAAGCATCATATATAGACTTTGTGCTTAACAGAAACGAACACAGGCAACTTCAGGAAAACTGATCCACTAAATTCTCAAGCAACGATTGGTGTGCGCACCTTGTCTTCAAGATGTAAACCAAAGTTAATCATGATAAAAATAACAGACTAACCAACGTGGGCTTTAACTAACCCTATCTGTTAGTGTCTTTAGGCATAAGACATTCATTTATCTTTTTTTCTGGCTACACAGAGCGATGTTATCAGATAATTGTATTTTTAATTCTATACAACCAGTTATTTCCGGTTACCAATGAAATCTAATCTAACATATTTACACTACAGATGTTAAATGAAGATGCGTCAACGTCTTGGGTCAAACAGACCAACACGTTCTTCAGTAACTAACCTTCAGATAGGGACAAGGTCCTCTTAGAGGGATGATGGTTGTCTTCAGGGCTATACATACCATGGGAACATTTACCCACAAACATTAGATCTGACTATGTGGCGTCTTGTCAACTATCATCTCCAACTGTAAAATGTTTTTTTTAGTCTTAACAAGGATATTTTTTAAATCTAGTCACAATATTTAAGTGCAAAGTTGATTCATTGAATCATTAGTTCAGATTTGTTTATATTAATCAAAATGATCAATGTTGAAGGACATTTAATTCGAATATTTAATCTAAATCTGATGTATAAATATTGCATGAAATAAATATCACATTTTGTCTGTATTTGTATATTTTTATCGGCAGTTGAGAGAATGAAAAAAAAAAAACAGAAATGTACTCATCATGTCATGATTCATGTAAAGAAAACAAACAAAAATTTAAATTTTCTATGTATTTATCATCATGATTTATGTAAACATCAATGTAGAGATGATACTATCAATTTATGGCCATTCGATGTGATACAGTTTAGTTAACTTTGTTACAAGTTTGTTTTTGTCTCATTTGTGTGTAAGTGTATTACTAGGCGTTAATCTTGTTAACCAGCTAAACAGACATACATTCATATCTATGAGAACACAGTAGGCGAAAATTGTACAGATAATGTCACTCTCAACCAGAAAGTATCAACTTATGTATAAATTGTTATTGTCCATTGTTTCCTTGTTGTATTCATTTCGATATTTTCCAATTTTTTTTTTCCAGAAAATTTGAGTTGAATTGATGTACAACTCTACTCAAATTGATAAAAATCGATGTAAGTTGGATAGAGGTAATCCGTAAAGGATTCATCAGCTAGGTATATCTTCAACGTTGACGGAACTGATGTGTTTCCTGTGTCACCGAGTACTTCAGATCCAGCGCTATCAACAGATTGTCACCATCCAACTAACATTTCTCTCAGTACGCCGAGAAGGAAATCTGGTTCTCAAGCAGGATGCAAAGGGTAGACCTATTGATTAGTAATACTGTCGTCCACGACCATCTGTCATATGATACTCACCTACGTAGTCATGAGTAAAGTAGATAGGCATTCACATTTTCTCACTTTAGATGCTAAGAGTCAGTTACTATGGAAGGCTTAAATTTAGGATCCGTGCTTGTTATCATTCAACTCGAATCCATGACATTCCACGCAGACATCAAAGGCTGACAACAGGTAAGAAACTTTGGTCATACGCGGCTTCCCGCTGAATGACTCCCTCTACTAAATACCAAAGTTCAGTGTACTACAGTATCACATCAAATGACTTAAAGAAAATCGAACTGAATTAGACTATTAAGGTCTTTTGTAATTAGATTAATCTGCACGTACGCGCTAGGTTGAAAGGGAAACCAATGATTTATGATCATATATGCTGGTCAAAATACATACTATTACGAGATGATATAATTACACTCATTGTTTTCATTGCCTCTGAAGTGAATTGAGGAAATAGTCAATATG